CCCTCCTCTCCCTTATACTTAGTCACAGTGTAAGGTCAGGCCGCTTCTCGTTGGTGCACAAGGGGCTGCTGCATTTGGTACAACTGGTGCGTGGGAGTGCTGTTTGAGCGAGAGAGAGAGAGAGTATCATGGGGAATTGGTTGTGGTGTGGTAGTTGTTGTTGTGGTGGTAGTTGTTGTGGTGGTAGTTGTTGTGGTGGTAGTTGTTGTGGTGGTAGTTGTTGTTTGTGGTGGTAGTTGTTGTTGTGTTGGTAGTTTGTTGTGGTGGTAAAAGATTGTTGTGGTGTGGGTTTTATCAGTGTACAGCTGCATACACACACACACACACACACACACACACCTGTGCCACAAAGTCAGATGTATTACATACTTACGTCCAATTTAAAATTATACTTGTTGTTTTTATTTGCTTGATTGTCTGTCTGTCTCTCCACACCCTTTCACCTCTCCCACCCCTCTCTCCCACCCCCCCCTCACCTGTCCCACCCCTCTCACCTTTCAAACACCCCCTCTCCTCTCCCCCCCCCCTCACCCCTGTCCCACACCCCTCTCACCTCTCCCGCCCCCCTCTCACCTCTCCCGCCCCTCTCACCTCTCCCGCCCCCCTCTCCCACCCCTCACCTCTCCCACATTCCCTCTCACATAATATCTGGCATGACACGGGCGAGCGCTTGCAACAACAGAGGCGTTTAGGTGGAGTCAATGTTTTGCTTCGTAGTTCTCTCAGTTACCGCTTGGAGGCGTTGTGAACCTCGATAAAAAGATCATCATGTAAATAAACGAAGGATGAATGATTTTTCGTGTTTGTGAACGATGGAATGTTTGTCTTTTTACGCCTTTTGGTTTGTTTACTTTCTTTTATGCGTTTTAGAATGTTTTAATTGTGTTTTATTATATATTTATTGGTTTATTCTTTTTTTATCTGAAGTATGAACGTATTTAAAGGAATTATATATTACTGGTAGTATGTAAAGCTGTGTTGGTGAGTGTGCACGTAAGGCATGCATACATAATCAACTCACACACACACACACACACACATTTATCACTGCCATTATCCAATAACCCACACGTCACTAGTCATCAAGGCCGTGTTACCCTTATCCCAGGACCTCCCACACTACCCACACCTTCCCCCCACAGCTGCCTTACCTCCTCCCACAGCTGCCACACTTCCCCCACAGCTGCCTTACCTCCCTCAAAGCTGCTTCACCTCCCCCACAGCTGCCTTACCTCCCCCCACAGCTGCCACACCTCCCACAACAACACCAATACAATCACTACCACCACACTACCACACAGTTCACCCCCGTACACTGGTCCACTTACCAAATACAGACACACACACACACACACACACACACACTCACACAGTACAGTCCAACCACACCACAACAGATAACATGGGCCAATGCTCTTATATCATCATCTGTACTACCAAACGTAAACACAATGATTATTTCCCTTATTTTAATGTTATACTAAACATTTATGACGTGAATGTTGTGTTAAATGTTGATAAATAGAGAGATATGGTGGCCGGTGGTGGAAGGGGGGGGGGTCCTGGAGGCGGTGAATGTGGAATGTTTTGCTCGTCTCAGTGGGGTAGGGGGCGTGGCAACATCGATGACGTCACCAGAAAGTACTACATCTTGAGTTCCGGGTGTGACGTCATCGTGTTGTTGTTGTTGTTACTATGAGTTCTTTATTTTTTTTAGTTATCTCTTTATATAGCTTTCATTCTTGTTCCTTCTCTGTCTCTATATGTCACATCTAACCTTTCATTCTCTATCTCTCTCAGTATGTCTCATTATCTCACAGTGTACGTGTGAAAGAAGCGAATTCCCTCTTTACAGTATAACAGATCTGGTGGCGGGAAGACCGTGCTATGCTAGGTACAGGTTATGCCAGGAAGACTTACAGGGTCACAATCTCTTACTAGTCGTGTGTGTGTGTGTGTGTGTGTGTGTGTGTGTGTGTGTGTGTGTGCGTGTGTGTGTCTGTGTGTGTACTTTACTGACATAATAACCTACCTCTGGACACACGAGGTCTCATGAGGTAATCAGCGTATGATAACACTAATAAACACAGGCTGATAGTACACGTGCTAGCCTTATCCTTTTTATCTGATTGCCACGTTAAATTATCTGATTGCCACGTTAAATTATCTGATTACCGTGTTAAAAAGAAGGTTAATTAGGTGACCAGCATTCTAGAGTTTGACTATAAAATGTGAGGGATTTTTTTTACTTTCTTTTTTAACCTTTTTAGTGAAGATATGAAAGCACATTTTACTGTCCTACTTAAGCTTCGACACAAAGCCTCGTAGTTTAAGTTTTATCATGACTTAACCCCTTGAGTCATTGTACTCAAGGGGTTTAGTCATCGCATTATAGATGTTTTAAGTCATCAAGTGATTCATCATATTTAACTCACATGTACGTACCTAGATATCCGAGGCAGGTAAAATAAGTGAACGCAACCTCCCCCCCTCATTCTCTCCTCACCCTCCTCTCCCTCACCCTCCTCCCTCACTCTCCTCCCTCACCCTCCTCCCTCACCCTCCTCCCTCACCCTCCTCCTTCCCATAATATAAACTGTGTTGTGCATATATGTCACACCCCGCTCATTCTCACACCCTCCCTCCCCCCACACACTCTCCCCCATTCCCCCTCCTTTATACACTTCCCCCACACTCCCTCCCCTATTTACCCCCCTCCCATATCTTCCCTCTGACGGGATTAATTGAGATGGAGTAGAGAGGAAGAGTGCTAGCTGTCAGTGAGGGGTGAGGGAGGGGGAGGGGGGATTGTGAGGTGGGATGAGGGAGGGAGATAAGTGGTGAGGGAGACGGGGAGTATGAGGTGGGGTGAGGAGGGGGAGATAAGGGGTGAATGAGAGTAGGAGGTGGGTGGAGTCGTACCCTGTGAGACCATCCAGCCTTTTATTACAGCTGAGCACCTGCAGCTTCCCTTTCCTGTCTCCCTCCCTCCCTCCCTCCCTCCAGCACCATCTGTGCGTGTCTCTCTCTCTCTCTTTTTATCTCCTTCCATTCCTCCCTCCTTCAACACCTGTGACTAATTCCTTCCTCACCTCACTCTCTCCTTCCCTCCTTCACCAGCTGTGTCTAACTCTCACTGTATCTCCCTCCCTCCCTCCCTCCCTCCCTATCTGTATTTATCTCTCTCCATCTCCCTCCCTCCCTATCTGTATTTATCTCTCTCCATCTCTCTCCCTCCCTCCCTATCTGTATTTATCTCTCTCTATCTCCCTCTCTCCTGGCTTCTCCATATTATCGTCTAATATCTTCCATGCTCTTTACTGCTGGACCCTAATCTAACCAAACCTAACTACAGCTAAACCCAGAATTAAAGTTTATTTATTACTAATTGTTAAGGAAATGTTTAATATATTCTATTTGTGGTGTTTATGATAACAATTAACTCGCTTTGATTACTTGGTCTAATTTGTGTATTTTTCTTTGATTAAATTTTTTAATTAGATAAGATTATAAGTTTCAGTTTTTGGAAGCGAATTACATCTTAGTTTTATATTATTTTGATGATAATTAATAAATAATACCTTATAATAAACTTTCAGTATGATTTTTTCTGTATGTACAAACAATTTTACGTGTAAGAAAATGTGAGTAAAAATTAGGAAAGTTATCCATTAAATAATTAAAGAAAATGGTAATCAACATTCATAAAAGAAAACGGAATAATACGCGAGTCTGGGATGACATGTCGTTGTTGGCACCGTTTCCTTGGCTCTTGAGGTTGGCACTGGCTAATACAATGGTGCCAAATGTCTTTTAATGTGCCAAACAAGTGTACCCATCACTGACATATATTTTGGAGGTAATATTTTGCCGTTTGAAGTCCATTTTGATAGCGAGCGCGTAGTGCTTATGTAATTTACATGTGTGTTGGAGGGCGTGTGTGTGTGTGTGATAAACAACGCAGTACTATTATAACGCACACTTCGTATCTGTATACCAACAAATCTTTACACACTAATCATTAAATAACATCCGAATACCTAATTGCACCTAATTGGTAGTAGTAAGACTAGTGATTATTTTATCTGACGAAGGTACACGACCGTGACGGAGGTACACAACCGTGACGGAGGTACACGGAATCAGTAGTAGCGTGTGTCTTTGATCTTTGAATGATGTGAACCAAGATAGTGTTTACCTTTTAGAAGACGCGAATAGTGTGTCAATAGGCTTGGGAATTACTGTTACATGCTAAGTTAAACCTTTACGGGATTTTAGGGTGTTCAAAGTGGAGAGAGAGAGAGAGAGAGAGAGAGAGAGAGAGAGAGAGAGAGAGAGAGAGTACCGTGCCAACTATGAACCTCTGACTCGATTCTTCACTATGACCTTGCCTCTTGTCATGCTGTTAACTCGTGAAAAAGTAGTCCGTTTGTACCTGTACTTCTCTCTACCTGTAACTGTACTTGTAATATCTATATATCTATTTTTATACTTACTTTAACTGTATTTATACCTAGGGGCTGTATGTGTACCTGTATATAAGCTCATACTATTATAATAACGAAGAAGTAAAGTAGTGCAGCGTAACAGTACAGCAGCGTGGTGGGGGGTAGAGGAGGTAGAGGGAGTACTGAAGGTCTTGGGGGTCACCGCTGCACTAACACATAACAAGCCAACTGAGACCAGGAATTCAAGTCTCGTGATGTCTTCTGGTCGAGCAGTTACGGAAGTCTGGTGGAGCGAGATGCTTACTGTAATCCTTTGTTTATCTCTCTCTCTCTTTCTTTCTTTCTCTCTCTCTCTCTCTGGGTTCTCTATTTTTACAGTATTATGTACAGGTATAGAGTTGATCTCTGACTCGCTATTTGTGTTCATGCGCCATTCGGTCTGTTAGTTGCTCTCTGTGTGTGTGTGTGTGTGTGTGTGTGTGATTAAGTCCTTAAATAGGTATGAAAACATAATGAGCGTCGTCGTAATGTGTGTTTATGTGTTTCCCTCAGCAGGTGTGGGCGGTGGCTGGCACCTCACAGGCACCATGAAAGACCGCAAGAATGAGTCGCTGTTCACCTTCCGCCGCAGCAACAACCGCTACTCACTGCACCTGGAGAAGCCCAGCAAGAAGGAGGCAGACGTCCAGCTCAAGCGTGCCACCTGGTCCTCCTTCCCGCTCCTGCGCTTCTCCTCCTTCGATGACAAGAGCTGTACCGAACAGCTTACTATAAAAAGTCAGAGCACAGACGACATTAACCAGCAGCAGCAACAACAACAGCACCAGCAACACTCACAGCACCATCAACCTATCAGCACGCCCAAAATCGGCTGTAATTTCTTCAGGAGCTCCACAGCCAGCATCCGCAGCGCTTTCTCCAGTTCGTCTTCTTCGTCATCATCATCGTCGTCGTCGTCATCGTCGAGTCCAAGCATCAGGAGCACGGGATCAAGCGGAAAGAGTTCCATCACGAGTATCCTGGAAGGCTCAGTGCGTGAGAGCCACTACGACTCTTCCAGCACCGTGGAGGACACCCCGCCTTACCTTCCCACCAGGACACGCTCAGGTCACGCCCCCCACCTTCCCAGAACCTCCAGCGATCTCTTTACGCCTCTCACACACACAGAGAGTGAATCCTCGTCCGTACCTTCACTCTTTTACGATGAAGAAGGGAATAGTTGCACGTCACCCAAAATTCTATACGTGCACAAGAAAACTCCCGATGTTCACAGGAAGTCGAGGAAACAGTTGGTGAAGGAGCTGGAGCTGGTGAAGAGGAACGGCTCACTACCAGAGGACCCGGAACTGACGACTCTCAAGTCAGAGGAAGAAAAGGAGAATGTAGTACCGAGAATGGAACAGAAACTCACCATGAAATCCAAACCGACGTTCAAATTCATGCAAAACTACAAGTTCCTAGGCAAGCATGACACGAAGGTCGCCAAGAAGGTCACGACAGAGACGACGCCGACAGGAAAAACCCCGATGGAGGGAGAACCCAAAGATAACTATCAGATGTCAACGGATGCTGGGAAGCGCCCCCCTGATAGTAGTAAGCCACGGACTTGCTTCACACACACGTCCTTGGCTGCCACCACCAGCACCCCGCACTACCAGGCGCACACCTTCTCACTCACAGACTTTATCAACAGCGAGCTGGGTGCGTTTGACGTGAACAGCGAAGACTTGAGAATAAACGATCGCTTTTGGGGGGTAATCAACTCGAATACGAACCTGGGAGTGACGGGTCCGAATGTAACAGTGAGTGAAGTGACCAGTGACGGAATTACCAGCGGTGAAGGTGTGTGTAACGCCAGTGGACGAGTAGACGACACGAGAAACTCACCAGTGATCACATCGAGTTTAGGAAATAAAGCTAACTCTGGAGACAATAACATAAACTTTGGCGTGAGTGGTGCTAACTTCGACGATAATTTCACGAATATTGACGTACACAGCACAAACTTTGGCGTTAATAGCACAAACTTTGACGAAAACAAGACAATCATTGACCTAAACAACACAAACTTTGGCCTCTCTCGGGCGATATTTGGCCTCAACGACGCTACCTTCGGCGTAAGCACCACCAACTTCGACGTGGTCACCGACATCATTGAGGAGGAAGACAGCGAGTGTGACTTGAGTGAGTTTATGGCTCACGCTGACGACAGTAGCTGCTTTGAGAGGCGCCTGGAGGACAAACTGGAGAAGTTGGCTGAGAGAGACCTCGACATGACCAACGACAGGGACCATGACCTGACAGTTGACAGCGTCGAGAACTTGGATTTCTCGCTGACCTCGGAAACAGATGACAACCAGAAAGCGCAAAATAGGCCAGACTTGAAACTGAACCTCGCCAAACCCCAAAACAAACTAGTTAACCAGGTAAGTTAATTTAAGTTAATTAACTACGGTATTGTGATTTGTACTGTTGTCTCATACATTCTCACAATGAAGATTTATTAACATAATCTAACACATCGTTTATGACCTGATATTTTACAGTCCTTACTAATAGCATTATATCGAAGTTACAAAATTACAAAGAAAATATAAAATACAATAACTTTACATATCATCAGAGAAGTAGTTGATATGAGTGAAATATTACATGAAATGCAGCTACAAAATCCCAATTACAACACCACTTGCAACACCTGTATCGTAATTGGTTAGTCACTGCTGATATGTATGAAATTTTTCCTTTGGGGGACCACGCGAAGCTTAGCCCCCAAGTTTGTTTCACATGATGATTAAACACCCTAACCTAACTCACCAAGGTAGCGTAATATAAGGTAGGGGACTAATCTTCACGTGATCCCCCAAGAAAAACAAGCAAACATTATTATCAGTAGTAATAAAGTCCAAAACACACACACACACACACACACACACACATATATATATATATATATATATATATATATATATATATATATATATATATATATATATATATATATATATATATATATATATATATATATATATACTGTATATATATATATATACACCTCTATCAACAGTGTGTATAAATTTTTTGAAACACCCTGTATTTCAGCTTATCAACAGTATATTTTTTAGACACCCTGTATTTAGCTCACTTGTGAGTGTTATCAACAAGAGTGAGTCAATGAGTGTATCCCGCCCAGGTGGTGGGTGTGTGGTCAGTCTCCTGATAACATTGTTTACCTGAGTCTCTTATCAGTTTATTACAGTTCACTCGTCTAGGTTAAGGGTAATTTAGGTCACTGTGGCATGTTGATTACACTGTCTAGCTTCTGTCACTCTTAATATGTCTGTCATATTTACCTGTCACTGTTCCTTACTGTTATTTAAATTCACTGTCACTCACTTATTCCACCATTCACTGTCGGTTAAGCTGTCACTGTCACTTATCAACGGGTGTCATAATAATAAACAGGTGCCATAATTATACAGGTGCCATAATTATACAGGTGCCATAATAACCTGGTCACCCCCCTTCCCCCTACAGGTATACAGGTCACGGCTGCTACGTCACATCTCAGAGGAGGGGGAGAGTGGTACTAGTGGGGGGGAGGAGGAGGTTGAACTAAGATCATCACCCCGCACTCCCAGTACTCCGAGGTAAGTCACCATGTATGACCCAGCATTGTCGTGTATCCTGTTTTGTTTTTTTACTTCCCTGTTCCCTAGTTTGACCTTATATGTTCGTGTTTGACCCCTTGTGTAACCTAGTTTGACTCTTTGTTTGACCTCTTGAGTGTCTTAGGTTGACCCAGTATGACCCTGTGTGTGTGTGGGGGGAGGGTTCATATTGTCTGTACTACTACTAAAACTAATCACTACCACTGCCACAACTACTTCCACCACAACTACCACCATTATTGTATACTGTATATTATTACTACCACTATCGTATGTAACCACTACCACCATCATCCCACAATACGAATCACTACTACCACCACTACAAGCACCACAATAATCACCCACTATCTCCCTCATTTTTACAGAAGTCCAGTCATCGACATTGACAACGTGTTCAAGCAGAAGCAGCGAGAGATTGAGGAAAGCACCGATGACATGTCCAGAGTGCGCGATCTTGCTACTGTGAGTCATCTGTTTCATTAGCTGTACTCATTGACGCATTTAACTCTACACGTGTGACCTCGATACTTACTGAAGGACTGAATGACTCAACTAACTTATAGAAAATGCCACTTACTCAGCCTGTGGTTTAGTTGGTGTTGGGAGGGTCAATTTTATGGAGAAATAAGCTGAAAGGGTTAATCGTCATTTGATTTTCTTTTTTCTTTTAAATTTTGGATTCTATGGTAGACTCGAGAGATAAAAATAATAATTAATTAAAACAATTATAATCAATATCTTGTTATTTATAATTTAATGCATGATATATTTCACATTTTGCCTTTTTGCGAACCCATGTTATCAATTATGTAAAAGACGCTAAGATAAATTTTAGTTGCCCATTAAACTATAATAGAAAACGCGTCAGATTTATTTTAGATACATCCATTTTCTGTGGTAGGAAGGGTAACCAAGGCATTCTCCCCGTATTAGTCGCTAGTAACATATGGTTGATGAGTATGAGATAAGGGTGCAGTGAGGATCCAGTGGCGTGAGCAAATCAAGGGAAAGGTAATGTTTATGGAGGTTGGGGAAGGGATGGAGGATGGACGGAGGGGTTAGGAATCTTAAAGTGGATGAAAGACAAGTGATAGGGACCAAATTCAAGGTTGCTGTATGCTGGAAAATCTCTCTTCAACAAGTTAGTCAATTAATCAAGTCAGCCAACAAGAAAATTCATATACAGTAGCTAACGAACACAGATAAACGTCGCTAAATACAACATACTATACATACAGAATAGACGCCAATATGTCGTCCTAACGTTGGTTTGAGATCACGGTGATTCCTTTGTTTACTTAAGCGTGTGGTAAGAGTTATTGTGTATAGGTATGATTATTAATTTCCATTTGAACAATATATAACTTCAATGGACGTTTGTTTACAGAGATTGAAGCTTGCCACACGACGACCTTCATATTTAGACTGGATGGGGGTGATCAAGCAGAGGGGGGAGAAGATGGGGGAGGCGCTGGAGACCCATACACCAAGGGTGGTGGAGGAGGGGCAGCAGGAGGAAGAGGAACTCACTCCAGAGAAACGCAAGGACAATCTCCAGAGTGCTATGGCGTGGCTTAGGAAGGAGCTGGTGGGTGTATCTGCCTCTTGTTATTTGTCGTCATCAGCTTTGTTTTCCTCTGGTCTTTGTGTTTTATTTATGTTTTTTTGGGGGGGTTTTATATTTGTCTTTTGTTTCATTTGTATTTTGTTTCATTTTGCCTCTTATACCTTATTCTTATCATTTATATTTTAGCCATTATTTCTTGCATTTTCTTAGTAATATTTGACTTATTTTCGTTCGAAGTATTGCGTATTATAATGTATTTTATTCAGTATAATCTTACATTGTTTGGCTATAATCTTAACTCTACATATACCAACATTTAGCAAGCATTCCCTCCTTATTCTAGTGTTGCTAATAAGTATTTTCACCTTATTTCAATGTTGCTAGTGGGTATTTCCTCCTTATTACAATGTTGCAAAAGCAGTTTTTAGTCATCATTCAACAGACAACACACATGTAGCTAATGAATAGAATACAATACTCGTAAAACTAACACAAGATCTACTTTAACAGATGGAGATGAGGCAACAAGACCAACACCTCGCGCGACAGCTGATGCAGTTACGGATAGAGCTTCAGAGAGTAAGGCTGCTCCGGTCATGTAATAACCATCAGGCGCTGGTGGACGAGATGACTAATGAAGCAGAGGAGGCCAAGACTTACGAGTCCTCCTCAGATCTGTGTGAACTGCCTCCTGATCTTAGGTAAGGACTTGATCCTCTTAGTAAAATGTGATAAACTTGTGATGATATACTTTAACCCAATGCTCTCTCTAGTTTACCCTGGGTGTTTTTCTAAGTGTATCTCAAAATTCATGTATCTTTTTCATTAGTTTGGTTTATTTGGTGATTTAACTGGAACACATCTCACAGTCTCAAAATAAGATTAAGACATATATGGTTGTGACAATTATTGTTTTATGACTAACAATTTAATTTAAGTTATATTTAATATTTTGGGGGTTAAAGTAAGTTGATTTTATTAAGCAGAGAAGGGACTCCGTACACTAGGGGGTTAATAGGCTTAGGTTATATATTGTATATCAGAAGTCATCTGAAAGAGGTTCCAATGCTATTTTTCAGAGAGGCATTTTCTCCCGTGCTTCGAGAGATTGGCGTCACTAGGATGAACATCACTAGCCGAAGGTTCTCTCTCAGGTGAAACTATTTACCGAAGGCCATTTACTGAACACTAGCTACAATTACCAAGATCCACACCGCCACTGAAGCAATACCCTACCCTACTCCTGTGTACTACTGAACATACCTACAATAGTGACTTCCAGGTCTTGGGTGGAGTTACCAAGTGTACAAAACCTCGTCATGATTGTTGTTTGAGAGGCATAATGATTTGTTTGTCTTGCAGATTCTGTTGTTGTGTTTTAGGCCTTAAGGTCTTACTATTGAGGTATTGTTTATGTGACCTAGAGAAAATACAACCATTTTTTTTCAGGGTTTTCAGTGATGATTGAAATATTTGAGGTTAGGTTTCCATGCTCAAAAGAATAAAATATCGTATTCACTAGTTAAGATATCACACTCATTGGGATTCATTGTATTCAGAGGATGACATCGTCTTCAAAGCGGTTGAGATTTAGGACAAGTTATAATGCATGTCTTTTGGTACAATGCAAGGTGAACTACTTTTAATCATTATACAGAGGGAAGTACTGTCTATAATGAACAGTGCCTTGTCTGTTGCCTTGTATTTTGATTATTCATTTTACATTACTTATACAGGAATGTACAGTCGCCCACAGAAGTTCTCTCTCCGAGCCAAAAGACTTTTGTGGGTGACTACATTAGTTTATATAGATATAGAAGTACAGTATATTAAATCCAAAACAAAGTTACATATTACAGTACAAGATACAAAGGCACCTGGGTGGTATACAGTACATAATTTTTGTACCTGTATCATATATTGTTACTCATACTGTAGTCAGTTTTTCACAGCTTTAAAATATGTAAATATTTGTAGTACATAATGAAAAGTATTCTTTATTGCGTGGTTCCTTAGGGTCCATTTTGGGAGTGTTACACAATATAAGCAAACACAGAGTTGCCACATGTCACAAAGTGCGCAAGACACCGTACAGAAGTAATATGGTGCAGTGAACTATTGTAAATGGTGAAATAGTCATATTATTAGATTTAAGCAGACAAAATAGTTCAGAGACTATTGTAAATAATATAAGCTGGTCTTTAAATAATCAGTTGGGTAAAATAGGACAGAACCATTGTAAATAAGTGAACAGTGAACCATATGGCTGGGCCAGTATGATGAACCACTGTAAATAAAGCTGAAGGGTAATACGATACCATGAATACTTATGGTGAAGTCTGTCAGGTTTATTACTCGAGTTACTTATTTACTAATGTACATTACATAAGTAACATTACATTGTACTTTTTATTTCGTTGTATTTTTTTGTTATCCACTCTGAGTTTGTTCTTTATTTAGGTGAAACAAATACACACAGAGATGTACTGTATGGTGTATAGAGGAGTTAAACAGTACAGCATAGTTAGACTTGTATATGAAACTAAATCATTTACTGTAATCTTGATGATAAATAATAAAAATATATATGAAAGTAAAGCAGATTATGACATTTGTTTAAACTATAAAACATCTACTGTATCAGAGCTTTTGTTACCGATGACGTATTGTTTTATCATCTTCAACAGTTTATTGCGGGAACCAGATGTTGTTACTCAAAATGTTGGCGCTCTGAACCTCCAATATCGATTGGAGAGTAAACATTGCCTGATGGATCGTCCTCAACATGGCCAAAATAAATGTTTTGAGGTGATTTTCAGGATGTTTTGTGGTACCGAAGACCAATACAATATAACAAGAGTTTTCGAATCTTTATCCTATCTGCAGCACCTTATCTGAGACGGGCGTTCTGATCCTCTTTGTGCAGGACGATAGATGCCAGTGCCACCCATCCCTCATTACCAGGAGATCGTGTGTGATTTATGTTAGTGAGCTGTGCGATAATATAAAAATGGTGAGAGTTGACTCATTCACAGTGGAGGAAATAATCTCATAGTGAACAATGATTATATTACCTGAACGTGGTTTCTGTGTAAAGACCTGACCACACGTTGTTCTGAAGACTCGGTTCCTGACGAATAAGTGCAACTGACGAGGTACAGTCCATAACGGGCATAACCGAAGTGCCTAGCTGGTAGCCACTTAACTCTTATTAGAACCAGTTAACTCTTAACTCCACGGTGTATTTTTGTTTTCCATTGTTCTCTAGTATCGGAATCCTTGTTATTTATTACGCTTCTTGATAACAATAACGCCTCTATTACATTTACAGTGATTCACTTTCGATATGAGCTCTCAGTTGTAGGAGTTATCCCTTTATCTTTAAATGGATGTTGGAGTAATTATTGAGTCAACAACACGATGTCTGCCAGGCTGGACGTGTCTGGAAACTATGGAACCTTTAGAGTGGTATATAAAGGGCGGGAGACTCCGGTAAAGCCACACTCATCTCTACGTTCCTGAATCATGATGGCCTGCAGAACGGTGAGTATTGAGCCTTCGTCAGCAGGGGTAGAGGAAGGGATTACTCACTCACCTGAGTCAAGTGAGTGAGTCATTAGAGTAAGAAATGAGTCGCTGAGGGAGGGTATATCCATGTGGACTTGACTAAGCACAACTATGAAGGCTTTGTGGTCACACTTCGGCGTCTCCCCCTCACAGCTGTGCTTGGTGGTGGTGATGGTGGCGTCCTTGGGGACCTCTGGAGTCGGTGGACGGTCTGTAGAAGGAGCATCAAGGATGGAGAAGCTTCTCTCCTCGTCCAATTCGCCGTCGTCTACGCCTCTAGGTTTCCTGTCGCAGGATCACAGCGTCAACAAACGTCAGGTGTTCGACCAGGCGTGTAAGGGCGTGTATGACCGCAACCTCTTCAAGAAGCTGGACCGTGTGTGTGAGGACTGTTACAACCTCTACCGCAAACCTTTCGTCGCCACCACCTGCAGGTACGTCTCCTCCTCCAGTAGGGTCAAGGGTTCGATACCCAGTTGATCCATGCTTCTTTCCCGGTCGTAAGATTCGATACTGTTCCCAGTGACACCTTCTGCGGGGTCAAGGGTTCGATTCTACCTCTCCGCACATCTTGCCAGGTCACCGGTTCGATGGCTTGGAGTAATTTTTTTTATTTCGGTATGTTTTCCCATTTTTTATGGATGTTTATTTATTTTTGCCTCGATTTTGGTTTTGGTAAAATTTACTTCTCATTTTTTTATTTGCACATATTACAAACATTGATGTCTTTCGTTTCATTATCATGACTTCATAACAATTCCAACATGTATTGTTTACTTCTCCACAAGTAAAGTTTCCTCTTTAAAATGTTTTGTTGTTCCATTGTTTTAGTAAATATTTTTTTCTATAAACATTTTCAACTTAGTTTTATTATTTGTGTTTACTTTTCATTATTTATCTCACTTTCTCTCTGTTCCTGTTTTATTAATCAATGTGTTCCTCCCTTCCCAAACCCTCAGGCAAAACTGTTTTGAGCGCGACATCTTTCCAATGTGTGTGGTGGACCTTGGACTCGACTTTGAGCTGTACCTCGAGATCAGGGATATGATCAAGGGGTAGACTCACACTCAAGTCTCTACTTTAAGTGGTTGGTGAGGAGGAAGGAGGTGTACAAGATGGTAAATTACTTATGTTAACTTATACTTATACATGTTTATGTCCTCTCGGGGAAAAACTCATTTTTCTTATATTTTTTAAAGTTTTTGGGCTAATTGTATTATTTTCTTTTTTATTTTTTGATGATTTTGGTTTTTAATTTTACGAATGATTTTTTCTGAATTTTTAATATCTTTTGGTTTATTATTTAAAATTGTTTTAATTCTTGACTTATAGATTTGTAACAGTATTTTCTTTATCATTCAACATTTGTTTACATTTTTTAACTCTTCATTATTGTTGCTACAATTTGTAATTTTCTCCTACTTTCACAAATTATTTAATATATTTACTTTCTCTCCGTCCTTCTCAGTTATTCATTTCCCAGTTCAGTTCCATTAGTTTCTCTTTTCTTATCCACCACCTTGAGAGAGCGTCACATTGTGCCAGTGTCTGAGTCTGTTTACATCTGCCAACAGGGAGAACTGCTACAGTAATTGGGTGTTCCGTCAATGTCTCGACGACCTACTCTTGAGTGATGTGATCGACGAGTACGTCTCCAACGTCCAGATGGTCGGCAAGTAAACAAACACCTCAGCCAACCCCAGACAGTTCCCGCTGCGTCTACCGGTCCCCATGGGCGTCCACGAACGTCTTTTTGGACACCGACGGATGCCTTCGAACTTCCTGGGAACGTCTCTGATGCCCCGAGTGTAATAATCAGCTCTTATCGTCACTGTACTATCCTCCTCTTCCTCGATGCCATGGCAGCTTTTACTGGTATTGTTTTTTCATTAATGCGTATATAACTTATGTACCTTAAAATGTAATGTAAGTATTTATTTGAGGGAGATAATGTAGTGGTTGGTGCAGCTGGGACAAGGGTTTGAAGCCTCGAGTCTCCCACAGTCCGACATTTCATTGCTAGTCATAACTATTAGTGGAGATATTTTTATACGATACGAGGGATGTGTGGCGTTAGTTAGGCACTCCTGAGAGTCGTCGGTACCTCACACCCAACACACATCCTTCCTTGCCAACACAAACACTTAACTAACACATCACATCACATCATTAACACAAGATAAAGTAGAATAATCCTCTTACTTCAGTTCCTTCTTCAGTAGTGACGTTTAAACAAGTCTTTAACTATCACGTCTACAGGGAGTAAATATCACGGTAGCTAATGAACTGTAGAGAATCCCCCATCACCCTCACCTCCACCTGCGTGATACCTGAGAATCTCATTTGTCCTCAACCAAAGATTAATATATTAAGTGGATACACCTGTTGCCGTAGAGGGGAGGGATGCAATGTCTACCAAGATGAATTATATATGAATAAAAATTACATGATGTGGACTATGTTTGTTTATCCAAGTGTTCGTGAGGTGTTGGTCGTCTTCCTTCCTCGTGTTATGTACACAGACACTACAAAGAGATTAGAACGCCTGAAACTGCCTAGCTTATACTACAGAAGGTCAAGGGGTGACTTATTTGAAGTTTATAAACATCTAAATGGGCTCTACTTAGTCGAGTGTCCATACATGGAGCTGACGGACACATGCCCCACAAGGAGTCACAGCTCAAGGTTGAAGAAGCAAGAAGTCCAGAAAACTGTGAGGGGTAACTTTTATGGAGTGAGAGTTGTGAACTTTTGGAACAACCTGCCAGAGAGTGTTGTGACGGCACTAAGTGTTGGCTCTTTTAAGACCAGACTTGACCAACACAGGAGCAGGTTCTGAGACATTTAGTAGCCATTAAGCCGATTAGCTAAGGGTAACCAAACATTCAAATGTCTGCTACCGTGAGTCTGTTGCCGTAATATGCATCCCCATCAACTTTATGGTCCCTGTATTAAATGTATTAACTGCCAAACAGTGGACGTTTATGTTATTACCGAAGGTTTTAAAAATGAAAATCCACAAATATTCACAAGCATATGATGCGTCTTTTTCTGTGTTCGTGTTTTTTGAAAGTCGACATGTTTACAAAATGGACGTTCCTAACCATAATATACTTCATGTTACAAGTTTACCACGACTAAAACAAATTACCCATTTATTACTATTTCAACTAAAGGTGGATGATAACCGTTTAAACCTCATCAAACTACAAGTACAATAGAATCGCAATATTTGGTTAGATGCATTTCATCTACTAATTTGACTTATAATTAATTTATTAATTAAACGAAGTGCTGGTTAAATTACACTAACATTGATCACCGGTAAACAACACCGAAAGCAGGTAAATAGTAGTCCTCAATTTTGTTTATTATTCACTATAACTCGCCACAGTCTTGATGTAATAACGAATTATTTGATAAAAAAAAGTTTATATGTAAGTTTATTTAGGTAAATGATAATGTTACATGTGGCAATTAATTATTACTGTGACATTTAGGAGAAAGGTCACTGTCCGGGTCAAAGGTAAGGAGGGAGGTATCCAGTGTGACTCAACCAACCCACTAACTCCAGTTTCCTCCTTAACTAATACTGGTAATTAAACGCCATAACACTGGATATATCAACCGCCCAAACGGCTAGTAAGTTGATCAGTGGTGTAGTGATAAATGATAAAGATAATAAATAACAAAAAGGTAAGAAAAGGTTAAAACGATATATTTGTGTATAGTTATCCATCAAAGTAAAAGAAGAGAGGCGTTTTCTATAATAGTGGCTGTATTATATACTAGGATAGACTTATATATTCTCGCATATCATAGCGGGTTGTAATGAATTTATTTCTTTTACTTATCATTTCACCAGTTATCAGATTCCTAGCCGTTCAGGCGGTTATTTGTTTGTCTGTTACTTTATCATCATCATACTTATTGTCCAGTGTTGGCACAGGAGGAAACACACCCCGTTAGTGTTTTACTTTTTTTTTAATATAAATGTTGAAAAATTGTCTCTTCTCAACAATAAAAACAACATTATGTCTCGAAAGTTTAAATGTTTGGAGAAGCAACTCCCTCCTCAGCAGCTCTTAACTTACATATGTCCACAATACTTAAGTGAAAGTGAGTCCCGTGGTACAAAGGGTGGAGGCAGTGTTGCTGACACTACGCTCGATCGCCTTTACTTTCCAACTTTAAAATAGGGTTCATATTCACAGATGGGTGGACTGGGGTGCCCCGGAAGCTAACCAGTGGTACTAAGGACAAAAATTGAGAACTGTATCCACCCCCCTCCCCCAGCCGCACCAGTACAGAACGCAGTGGCAAACAAATTGGCAGTCATCTTCTCTCAGCGCCTCGACGCCAAGCTGGTAAGCCATTTTTATTTTTTCATCCTCTTCGCCACTGATCGGCTCGTTAGCCGCTTGAGCGATCGGTCACGTCTCTGTCACGCACTGTTGGCAGGTACTGGGCATGCACCGGCTCCTGAATGTACCTGAACCCGCTCTAGTGTTGGTCAAGTCTTGTCTTGAAGCAGCTCACACTCGGTGCCGTCACAACACTCACTGGTAGATTGTTCCAAGAGCTCACAACTCTCACTCCGAAAAAGTTCGTCCTCACAGTTTTCTGGACTTGTGGCTTCTTCAACCTTGAGCTGTGACCCCTTGTGGGGCATGCGTCCGTCAGCTCCATGTATGGACACTCGACTAAGTAGTGCCCCTTGAGATGCTTATACCGCTAAGTCTTCGTAAAAGAGTAGTAAGAAATAGTTTTGGAATAGATTCTAAGAAAAAATTTTACTCAGACACGCCATCTTGTCACTCCGTCTATGGTATGTCGATACTTGTAATAGTGACTGTAGTGATAAAAGTGATAGTAGCGGTGGTGATGGTGGTAGTAACGGTGGTAATGGCAATATAAAAGTGGTGGTAGTAGTAGTAATAGTGGTGCTGGGTGATAGTGGTGGTGGTTGTGATCTGGCAACGGTAGTCCTTCCACGATGTTGACCTACACTCTCTGCCCTAAAACATGTAGGTGTTGTGGGCATGTTATGTTGGAGGGAGTTGTGGATTTTGTAGGAGTGTTGCGGTTAGTTTTGAAGTGTTATAAAGGCATTACGGGTGTTGTGGGGGTATTGGGGGTGTTGTGGGGGTATTGGGGATGTTGTGGGAGCATTGTGGTGTTGTGGAGGTATTGGGGGTGGTGTGGTGGGGGTTGTAACGAGGATGTTTTTATGATCAACTTTTTATTTTGTATGACTGGGTATACTATTAACCCCCGGCTTGATCACTATGCTCACAGCCTCACTCACGGTCCTGTCTGTGTGGGGAATAAGAGAGTCGTATCGTCACCTGTACATCAGAGTCTGGAGAAACTCAGGTTAATGTTTATTATATAAGTTAAGGTGAGTTAAAGGGAAAGTTTATATAACGTAATTTTATTCAATAAGAAATCGAACAGATGACAGTTGATTGTATCTCCTGCTCCTATTCTAGGTATTTACAGACATCCTTATTATATTCTCGGTAAGATAGAAAGATTAACACTCTAGTATATGATTACGGCCGCCGCCACACTCAATGACTTCAACTCCGCCTCCTACTCACACCCAACTTAAGCTGAAGTGTCCTGGTTTCTCCGAACTTAACCATACTTCACAGTTACTTCACTATGCAATTATTATGCCCTTTTCAAATCTCATAGTCCTCCTTTCTGCAATGTGAATGGTCACATAATATTGTGGGTATAGTTTTAGTAAAATGCACCAGCACCCAAGCCCCGTTTTAGTACTGTCACCCCATCTGGTTCCCGAGATACGCTAGAAACTGTTAGTTGGCTGATAATGTCCAGAGGAGGGCCACCAGACTGGTGCCTGCACTTCGACACCTCAGTTATCCACGCAGAGAAGTTAGAACGCCTGCGGGTGCCTATAGTTTATACTATAGGTGTGCAAAGGGTGAGTTTATAGACGTCTATAAGTGCCTCAGAATGCATTACTCAGTCGAGTGTTCATATGTAGAACTAGCGGATGTCCGCCCCACAAGGGGTCACAGCTCTAAGTTGAAGAAGCCACAAGTCCATAAAATTTTTAGGGAAAACTTTATGGAGTGAGAGTTGTGAACTCTGGGAACACTCTGCCAGAGAGTGTTGTGACGGCACCGAGTGCGAGTTCATTCAAGACCAGACTTGACCAACACTGGCATTGGTACACATACATTCTGAAGGCAGTTCATGTTCAGCACTTGCCAACAGTAAGTAAGAGATGTGACCGGCCACCCAAGTGGCAAACAGACCGACTAGTGGCGAAGAGGATAACAGTAAAGTGAAGTGAAGTGACACTTTGCGGTGCCCGTCTGTTTAGGGGCCGGTTAACGTGACCACTTGTGTAGGAACTATGTTTGACAGGAGTAGTAAACGTGACCTAACTACCGCCTTCCTGTGAGAACATGCGTGTTAGGGCGTGGGTGGGTGGCCCCTTGTTACAGTGTTATGGGGGGTGTTGTGGAGTTTTGCAGAAAGTTGTGGTGAATTGCGTTGAGTGGTGTTGTGGGTGTTTTGTGGTGTTGTAGAAAGTTGTGGGTTTTCGGGTGTGTTGTTGGGTTCTTAAAGAGTGTTAATGGGGTCATGTGGGTGTTGTAAGTGGCTGTGGTATGTTGCTGTGTTGCATGGTCATAGGAGTGTGTTGTGTCACAGTGTGTTTATAATGTATGGGTGTATTGCATGTGTGTCTGGTTATAAATTTCCCAGAGCAACACAAAATGGTCTCTCTAGCAGGGGTGACTCATACTGTGCCTCAGTTGACGCTGTATCATATTCTTGAGGAAATTAGCTCTTAACGCAAAGGAGAGTTTTGTTATAGTAAATTGAGCGTTAGAAGCGGGAGGAAGAGTCATAAGAAACCCAGGAAATGCTGGTATGCACGCTAACTTAGAGCCAGACAAGATCACATGAAGACTAGACTCCACAACTTATTTTACCTTGAGATTAAGAGAGAGAGAGAGAGAGAGAGACATACATCATCGCTAAGGTATGTTCCCCTCACCTGTTTCGTGGTAGGTGTCGGGATGAAGAGGGTTGAAAGAGAGTTCTTCAAGTGTCGCCATGTTAGGTGACCGTGAGTAGGGGGTCTCTCTCTACACAAACAAGTCATAACAAAGCCATTTTAATTTTTTTTAGTAGTTTTTTGGTGATTTACTTGATGAGGATGCTGGGAAGATTAGGTAGTTATGTGATGCTGATGTGAGGAGAATATGCAAGGAGTGTAGTGAGACACACGAGGGGCAGATGGGCCTATACTTTACCCGTGAGAAATGGTTAATGTTTACACCTTTAGAAGCTTTAATACAAAACTACATGTTCCTCCAGCCTGAGGATATAGTGTGGTTGAATAAGGGTGTGTGGCAAGGGTGTAGCGAGGGTGTGGCAAGGGTGTAGCGAGGGTGTGACGAGGGTCTGTGGCGAGGGTGTGTGGCGAGGGTGTAGCGTGGGTGTGTGGCGAGGGTGTAGCGTGGGTGCAGCGTGGGTGTAACGAGGTTATGACGAGGGTGTATGGGGAGGGTGTGACGAGGGTGTAGGTGTGAGGGGCGTGGCGAAGGAAGGGTGTTGTTGACAAGTAACTATAGATTATATCTGGGGAATTGAGTGATATTGTTTGATACGTAAAGCAAAGAAGAAAACTCACAGAGGGGAGTTCTTCAGAGTGTGTGTGTGGGGGTGTGGGTGTGTGTGGGTGTGAATAGTGAACAACATGCACGTTATTCTAGGAAAATAAGAGAAGTGAGACGGCCAGCGACAATAATACGTAATGGATAACCTTTCTGACATTGACACCATAAAGATAAGTCTGTTGAGAGAGAGAGAGAGAGAGAGAGAGTAGGATCTCGATTAAATCCTCAGTGGGTCAAATTTTCTATCGTACATCTTAACAAATTTCCAGGTATAAAGGAAGATAGAGAAACACTGTAAGAATCTCAAGACTTTATTTAGGTCTTAGGGCCTGGAGTAGAAGCCTCGTTGGTAGAGAGAGATAAGTCTGTATTGGTGAAGTCTTGTTTGGGTTTTGATGGAGAAGTCGAACAGTCGTATAACAGGAGTATTGAGTAGATGAGGGATTACGGGCACATAACTTTTCCTCTGATTTTTTGTCCAATGGGTTAAAATTTATCTAGGCAATAACCAAATTAATTTGTGGTCTACTGGACTGTGTGAAGAGACTGTGTTTTGAAAAAGTAGAATCTTCCTTTTTGAGTATGATTTATGGGTGGGTGTAGAATAGTAGAAAAAATACCGTAAAGTGATATTTACTCAGGAACTGTTATGGTTGCGAGAGACTCTGGGAGGGATAGTGAAGGTAAACAGTGTTATTATAATCATAATTAAAGTTTCAGTTGTTGGAAAAGACAATGTATGATGGCTGTGTTCAGTTATGTTTTTTCCAGTTACTTTATTATTTATTATTGTTTGTATACCTGTACTGTACATGTATATTATATATTTTAATTTTCTATGTCCAGTGTATACATGTACAGTACACTATATTACCAACACTGTTTATGTTTCTTGTTTGTATGACTGTATGACCTGCGTATATAGTGAATAAATGTTAAAATGTATGACAATTTATACTGAATGAATGTCTGTCTAACTCTCTTGTTGACACATAACACGAGGAAGGAAGACGACCAACACCTCACGAACACTTGGATAAACAAACATAGTCCACATCATGTAATTTTTATTCATATATAATTCATCTTGGTAGACATTGCATCCCTCCCCTCTACGGCAACAGGTGTATCCACTTAATATATTAATCTTTGGTTGAGGACAAATGAGATTCTCAGGTATCACGCAGGTGGAGGTGAGGGTGATGGGGTTATAGGTAACTCCTTCACTCTCCTCTACCTTATCTAACATTTGTTCTTTATGTCGCTACTTTCACATGGCGTCACAAAAAATAGATTTGATTTAACTCACAACTGACTCATTCTTATAAAACAAAATATTTCACTCCGAGAACTATATTGTGTGTTTGGTGTGTGTGTGTGTGTGTGTGTGTGTGTGTGTGTGTGTGTATTTGTAAGTGTATGTGTGTTTGTGAGTGCGTGCGCGTGTGTGTAAGTGGAGGGAACTTGTCTATGTGTGTACAATCAGTTCAGGGATTCTCTACAGTTCATTAGCTACCGTGATATTTACTCCCTGTAGACGTGATAGTTAAAGACTTGTTTAAACGTCACTACTGAAGAAGGAACTGAAGTAAGAGGATTATTCTACTTTATCTTGTGTTAATGATGTGATGTGATGTGTTAGTTAAGTGTTTGTGTTGGCAAGGAAGGATGTGTGTTGGGTGTGAGGTACTGACGACTCTCAGGAGTGCCTAACTAACGCCACACATCCCTCGTATCGTATAAAAATATCTCCACTAATAGTTATGACTAGCAATGAAATGTCGGACTGTGGGAGACTCGAGGCTTCAAACCCTTGTCCCAGCTGCACCAACCACTACATTATCTCCCTCAAATAAATACTTACATTACATTTTAAGGTACATAAGTTATATACGCATTAGTGAGAAAACATTACCAGTAAAAGCTGCCATGGCATCGAGGAAGAGGAGAATAGTACAGTGACGATAAGAGCTGATGATTACACTCGGGGCACTGCTCGTCTCGCTGTAAATATTGGCTTATATCCCGGTTGTTCTGCAGATTTATGAAGGTAGATGAACATTTCCCGGTCTTCATATGACCCACCCATGAAGACGAGACGGTGTCCTGCTACTCATGGCAAGCGTTGAGAACTTCATGGGCGCCCCTGGAGCTCCATAGGTGTCCAAAGGTGCTTATAGAAGAATTGGGATACCTGTGCAATTCATCAGGTACCCACACAAATCTTTAGACATTCAGTAGCACCCGTGGATATCCCCAGGCGTATTTTGATACCTGCGGAGGATTTCAGAAACGTTCCAAGGAAGTCCGAAGGCATCCGTCGGTGTCCAAAAAGACGTTCGTGGACGCCCATGGGGACCGGTAGACGCAGCAGGAACTGTCTGGGGTTGGCTGAGGTGTTTGTTTACTTGCCGACCATCTGGACGTTGGAGACGTACTCGTCGATCACATCAATCATGAGTAGGTCGTCGAGACATTGACGGAACACTCGGTTACTGTAGCAGTTCTCCCTGTTGGCAGATGTAAACAGACTCAGACACTGGCACAGGTGACGCTCTCTCAAGGTGGTGGATAAGAAAAGAGAAACAAATGGAACTGAACTGGGAAATGAATAACTGAGAAGGACGGAGAGAAAGTGTATGTACTGTTGCCTGCAGGTGTGATGTCCCACCCTACAGTGCCTCCCTTGCTCATGTGGCACCGTGGCACTACTAGTCAGACGGGAACTGATTACTATTCCCGTTGTAACAGGAGCAGGGAGACGCGGAAGAGGGTAAGAACACTCCTGCAGGCGAGTGTACACAAACAATACGTGAAAATGGTAGAAAAATAGATGTAAAAAAGGAAATAATATGTTAAAATGATAAAGTAAATATTGATAAAGAGATAATAAGTAAAATATAAAAACAGTACTTAGAGAATCGTTAACAAAAAATATTTAAAATTTTCAGAAAACAATCCTTTAAAGAGGATAAAATTAAAAACCAGAATTAAAAAAAATAAAGAAAACAATATAAACTAACTAAAAAAATTTAAAAATCAGAAAAATAGTTTTTCCCTGAGAGGACATAAACACGGATAAATTAATATAAGTAATTTACCATCTTGTACACCTTCCTCCTCCCCTCCGATCACTTAAGGTAGAGACTTGAGTGTGAGTCTACCCCTTGATCATATCCCTGAACTCAAGGAACAGTTCCAGGTCAAGTCCAAGGTCCATCACACACCTCGGGAATGTGTCGCCCTCAAAACAGTTCTGCCTGAGGGTGTGGGGAGGGAGCAACATATTGATTAATAAAAGAAAATGGAGAAAAAGTGAGATAAATAATGAAATGTTAAAATAAATAATAAAACTAAGACAAAATTAAATGAAATTATGAAAGTGTGAAAAAATATTTTATAAAATATTGTAAATTATGAAAAAAAATAATGATTTAAGATAATTACAATATAAAGTTAAATTCTGAGTAGATGTGAGAATATTGTAGTGAAGTAAGCAATAAGTGTTGGAACTGTGATGACGTCATGATAGTGAAACGAAAAACATGAGAAAGAGTAATTTGAGTTGTGTAAATAATCAGTATGACTAAAATGATTAAAATATGTGTAAACAATATAGATTTGACCAAAATTCAAAATCAATAAAAATAAAATTCTTAACAAAAATAACTGGGAAAAAATAATAAAATAAAAAAGAAACTTTATTCCCGAGAATCGAACCCTTGACCCCGCAGGTGTCACTGGAGAGGGTATCGAATCTTACGACCGGGAAAGAAGCATGGATCAACTGGGTATCGAACCCTTGACCCTACTGGAGGAGGAGACGTACCTGCAGGTGGTGACGATGAAAGGTTTGCGGTAGAGGTTGTAACAGTCCTCACACACACGGTTCAGCTTCTTGAAGAGGTTGCGGTCATACACGCCCTTACACGCCTGGTCGAACACCTGACGTTTGTTGACGCTGTGATCCTGCGACAGGAAACCTAGAGGCGTAGACGACGGCGAGATGGACGAGAGAAGCTTCTCCATCCTTGATACTCCTTCTACAGACCGTCCACCGACTCCAGAGGTCCCCAAGGACGCCACCATCACCACCACCAAGCACAGCTGTGAGGGGGAGACACCGAAGTTACGTTGGTGTAGGAAAGAGAGAGAGAGAGAGAGAGGTACCACTACTATCTCATAATACGAAAAAACATTCCTACAAAAGATAATTTTCTAACCAAACAGACACAGACATACAGATGAACTCTAGTGCCTTCAACCAACACAATGTCTCCCTAAAACAAGTTATCTTAGCCTCCCGATGACTAACTGACAGGCACTTACGACCACAGCCTTCATAATTCTGCTGAGTCAAGTCCACATAGATGTACTCTACTCGGTGACTCACTCGACCACTGACTTATCCTCTCATTGACTGACTGACTTAATGACTGAATGATTTACTGACTGGCTGACTGACTCACTAACTCACTCACTCACAACACGTACAGTATACTGAATCCGATCTACTTTCCATTTCCTGTAATTCCTTCATTTATTCCTCTCTTTCTACTTTTTATTCGTGTCTTCTCTGGCTTCTTTCATCCTCTTCCTTATCCCCGTTTACCACTTGTCTTCCTCATTAGACAGCTAGTTATTCTTTAAAGATCTTTCCAGAAACTCGTATGTCTAAAAATTAAGATTCCATGATAAAATAACAACACATTTCGAAGACATTTTCATCATGTGTGCCTCAGGCCGTGACTCAGGCCGTCTTAGAAGTCTATATATAGTTTCTGCTACGAATTAACGTGACGAGAGATTAGTCAAGAACTTGAGACTTGTCAGATGATAATATAAGAGGGTATTGAGTAGTTAAGGTAATGGGCGAAAGTTCGATACAGTTTTGACCGTGTTCAGACACCTTCAGTTTGGGGGGAAATTAGAACAATCTGATGAAACTGCATGGGTTTGGTTCCTGAGTTCGGGTTCTGGTAACTTCGAAGGTTAATAGGTTCATTCCCACGGTAGATCTGGCGCCAAGTCTGGGGATCTACTATCACCGGAAGCTGGCCATTCATCATTACCGTTGAGTAACTGACGTATGATGTGTTAGGTAGTAAGTAGTGAGGGTTTATGTAAAAGCAATTTATTTTTTCTTTTTCGTTCTGTTTTAATTAAATATCTCACTTGAGTTCTACTTCATCTTAAGTAAAAGAAATTATATCCCCCAAATGAGTCATTGGATCTTATTCATCCTGGGTAAAAAGTAGAACACACTTCAATCTGTCGGTATAATCAGCAGGACTCTCGTGCCCCGTCACACGCCGCTCACGTTAGGATTTCCCCGGGGATATAACACCGTCATTGAGGACTCCTTCTCAGTCAATGAGGTGTTCTTACGCCAAGTTCCCATCTAATTACACTACTCTTGTTCAAGCTCATGTTTTTTTTTTCGTATTTGAAGGTACGAGTGTCCATATCCTTGTACATCCTCGTAACACAAATGATGGGGTTGGTGCACGACTTGCAAGACTCAAGCGACTCTTCATTCCCGCGCTAGAATTTTATTGCAATTTCTCAAAGATTTAACAGTTTATATTTAATTTAATTGTCAATATTATTTTACATTGAGGATATTTATTTTCATATCAATTATAAGTCGTATTAGAAAAGATTATTGGCGTATTAGTATTTCTCTCCCTTTAGTTTTAGAATGAAACGCTCACTAGTAAAATCGGGATACTCACGTCTCGCGTTTCAAAATCAACTTCTGGCGGCTTCTATTGAAATTAAAGGAATATATAATATGTTATCTACTTATACAAAGTCTTTAAATGTAAGACGAATTTATATAAATATTAAGAAGTTTTAGAATAATTCAAATATCGCATAATTAGTTCCGTGTGTCGATAGTTGAGAAATTTAGACGAAAACAAGTCAGAGAAGAAGAAGGAGAAGAAGAAGAAGGCATTGTTTAGACTTGAGAGTGAGTGAGTGAAGTGGGTGGACTTTCGTAGGTTTATTGAAGTAGTTAGTGAGTGGAGATAGTGAGAGATGAGGTGTGTGTGTGTGGGTGTGTGTGTGTGGGTGTGTGTGTGTGTGTTGATTGGGTCAGTGATAGAAGAAAGAGAGGACGGAAGGAAGGAAGGATGGTAGGAAAGAGGGGAAGGAAGAGATGGAAGAGGATGTAGAAGAATAGAGAAGATAATTTCAGAATAGAAGTATTTCCTCTTTATATATTTGTCAATCATAACATCATGTCCACTAAAGGAGCATACTTCACTAGCCCCTCAGAGAGCTGAATCTACTAGCCCCCACAGAACAATAACTAGCAAACTATTTAATCAACAGTGTCTAACAAGAGCTGGAAGACATAGTGCTATAACGTGCTACTGGGGTGGGGTCATATTACTAGTACTAGGTGATATAGTTAGCTATTAGGTATATGGTTTTACTACTAGTACTAGATCACACTAGATGTACCAGTCTCACACCTGCTCAAGGCAAATTCGAACTGGGGATTTCTTGTTTGCTGAGCCAGTGTCATAACCACTACGGGTTTTTTTCACAGCATCAGACAGCAGTCGACAGGATCAGGTAACACTTGGCAGCAGTAGGTAACACTTGACAGCAGTAGGTGACACTTGACAGCAGTAGGTGACACTTGACAGCAGTAGGTGACACTTGACAGCAGTAGGTAACACTTGACAGCAGTAGGTAACACTTGACAGCAGCAGGTAACACTTGACAGCAGTAGGTAACACTTGACTGCAGTAGGTAACACTTGACAGGATAAAGTGACACTTGACAGCAGTAGGTCAGTAGATAACACTAATGACAACATTTGGTAACACTTGCCAGCTCCAGACAACACTTGACAGCATCACTTGACAACATACAATCAGACGACACGAGATAATTGTTGACAGCGCTAGAGAGCTTTAGATATCACGTGACTGGATTAAAAAGCCGCCCCCTACCCATTATCAGCCTTACAGCATCCCTAGATTTGACCATTACAACATCTAACACTACCTTACGCCTCAAACGTCTCAAGACAGGAAGGAAAAACAAGAATGGATTTAGGAAAACAAATATTCTTATCCTGAAGGAATGACCCCATTCTCAACTACTATTGACGAAGGCCCTGTACTTACAGTTCTGCAGGCGAACATGATGTGGGGGGGAACGAGAGGTGATGAACACGATTGACGACGATGAATGTGAAGACCTTAAGTCACTCTTGTTAGGAGCAGTTGATATGATGCTCTCAGGTGTGTAGCCCTGGACTGTGTGTGGTGTATGTGTGGTTCGTGTTGTTATATACTCTGGCTAGAAGGGAGTTGCTGGATACCGCTTTACGATTTAGCATCGAATCGTGACGTTGACAGGTTGATACACACGCTAATTACTCCTACGTGGTATAACCCAGACAAGCAGTAGTTCATATTGAAGTAGTTTGATGATAATAGAAGTATTATTATCGTAGACAATCGTAGTAGGTAATAGGGGTTTCAACTAGCGAGGAGACGACATGTTTTCGTGGAATTCTCAGAAGTATTTCATGTGTGTGTGTGTGTGTGCGTACGTTAGATCAAGTGTGCCTCCTTGTGATTGAGATTTACACTGAAAGTATTGCATCATATAAGTCTTTACATCGTTAATAAAAGAGAGGATGATATTGTTTTCTGTTTGCAAATCTGATGACTGGATTGGTGGAGTGATGACTGGATTGGTGGAGTGATGACTGGATTGGTGGAGTGATGACTGGATTGGTGGAGTGATGACTGGATTGGTGGAGTGATGACTGGATTGGTGGAGTGGTGACTGGATTGGTGGAGTGATGACTGGATTGGTGGAGTGATGACTGGATTGGTGGAGTGATGACTGGATTGGTGTGATTGGTGTGATGACTGGATTGGTGGAGTGATGACTGGATTGGTGGAGTGATGACTGGATTGGTGGAGTGATGACTGGATTGGTGGAGTGATGACTGGATTGGTGGAGTGATGACTGGATTGGTGGAGTGATGACTGGATTGGTGGAGTGATGACTGGATTGATTAACAACTTAAAGATTGAATTTAATAGCCAAAATATCACTGTCTAATTGTAAGGCAGGAATGGATGGAATGATGGAAATATACCGAGATGCTGGCAGATTATTGAGATGAGTCGATCCAGTGATAGTACATGGGGGGAGGGGGGGTGATGGGAGGGGGGAGAGGGGAGGGGCGAAGAGACGATGATGCTGGGGGATAGGAGAGGGGGATGATGAGGGTCATAATATAGGTTGAGGTCATGGATGTAAGTGTGTGTGTGTGTGTGTGTGTGTAAGTGATTTCTCTCTCTCTCTCTCTCTCTCAATACCAGCGTCATCAGGTAAGTTATGAACCTAACCTAACCAGCCTCCACCCCCCCCCCTAAAAAAAGTATCTATACGATTTAGTGTGAGACAATATGACACAATGGACGAAGGATTCTGACAACCTTACCGAGACAACAGGAGTCACAGTGTTCATTACGGAACTCATCGGTCCTCTCTGTGAAGATACTTTTTGGGGGTGAGTTTATGCCTACACTTTATATAAATGATTACCTTAAAAACAGTATGCTCTCGTATTTTAATCAGGGTAATCATTTATGGACACCCTTAATATTATAAACGTGTATGACAATTTTATTATTATTATTATATTGTTGTTGTTGTAGTTGTCGTTTTTATTGTTGTTGTTATTGTTATTATTATTATTATTATTCACAACATCAATATTCCGACTACCAGTATCAATATTAATAGGAACATATATGTCAGCTGTCCCACATCTGTACTGTACTGTCACCTGTGTGGTATAATGTGACCTCATAGCCATTGCCTAACCTCTTTCACCCACTTACATTCATTATCATACCAATAAATATCATAATATTATAGAATTTATTAAACATTTAACCAAACTAACACCATCAAGAGTCCTTATACTATCTGGTTCTAAACTTGTCAGCGTTTAGATACTTTGGGGAGGGGGGGAGTGGAGGCTGGTTAGGTTAGGTTTGTAACTTACCTGATGACGCTGGTATTGAGAGAGAGAGAGAGAGAGAGAGAGAGAGAGAGAGTACATGATATTTAATAAGGTAGTCAATACATATTAATGAAGTGGGTGGTGAGGGAAGGGGGAGGTGGTATTACGGGTGGGGACGGAGGGGTAGAGGAAGGAGGGAAGGGAGGGGTAGAAGGAGGAGAGAAGGGCGAAGGAGCAGGAGGAGGAGGAGACAGAAGATGACTTGGTGAAGACGGATGAGTAAAGACGCAAGAGAAACAGGTAAAATATTGTGGTAAGAGTAGAGGAGGAGATGAGAAGCTGAAGAAACAGGAACACTTACTCTCTTTTAGAACAGGACAACTAAAGCAGGACAAAATATATTACACATTTTCTGGTACGTGACGTTTGTGTGATTGCGATACCTTTTCTGTGTACTACATAGTCTCAAGTGCCATTATAAAAGATAAACTGAACACTTTTCTAACTTTGAATCAGTTATAATTTTTCCTCCGTGGTTGACGTTCTTCTGTTGTGAAATTATTTGATGCAACCAATAAAATTTTAAGAGGAAGAATGATCAACGAAATAAGATAAAGAAAGAATAATATGTAACTATGAATGAAGCCGGAACTAAAATCTTATTACGCCACACTTATTTTCCAGACACCCGATACTCTTTAAACTGATCGACTTCAAGTAATTATGACGTAGAAGTGACGCAATATTAATTAGTGTAAGCATTGGCCTCAAGGTGACGCTGACGTAGAAGTGACGCAATATTAATTAGTGTAAGCATTGGCCTCAAGGTGACGCTGACGTAGAAGTGACGCAATATTAATTAGTGTCAGCAGTGGCCTCAAGGTGACGCTGACGTAGAAGTGACGTATTTTCTACCTCGTGGAAAAAACAACAACACTCTCTTGATATCATTTGTTAAGTGAGATATTGGCACTAGAGGGGGGGGGGGCGATCGTGAGAAGTGTCCAACTGAGCATTCAAGTTTCAAGAAGTGAAGTGTAGTGATGATTGTATTGTACGCAGACGACGCCAATCCGTCTCTGTGCTTTCCCCATTCCCTCTTCTGTGCTGGGTTACAGAATGGCGTCAGCACCCATTTTTTTTTGTATGTACTTTCTGATACGGTTCATTTTCCTTTCTGTATGGCAACCACCACCACTCAGATCCAAGAACTTTCATCTGATTTACTCCAGTTATAATTCTATGTCTGAGTCCCCAATAGATAGTGGGGGGATTTTTCGTTTATGTAGTGATGCGGGCGAGACTTCTTCACGTGCGGGGTAAAACCAACGTTTTCCTTTGCCCGCTCACAAGTGGTTCAATGAGTGGATGTCAGTCTTCACGTTGTTCAGGAGTATATAATGCACAATGGGCTGGGGAGGGGGAGGGAGGGGGGGATTTCACTTATGTGCTTTGATAGTCAATACCTCACTCCTGTTCACGGGGATTTCCACCTAAATCTGTTTATTGTTACGTGGTTAGGTACGCCATCTTTACATAAGATGGTTCATATCAGTAATAATATAACATACAAGGAGATGTATAAAACGATTTTTCTCGCCATTTTCCTCCCACAATGCTCCATCGCCAATAACAAATGGCGTCGTAACTGTCTCTCAAGGTCGTGTTTGCGGAAAAAAAATAGTTGATAAAAATAGACCTCATTGTGTCTTTGTCATATCAAACATGAACTAGAATTTAGCCAGTAGTTTACATAAGTTTAATAGTTCTGTACTTAGTGATGGGTAAATGGTTTCCTCTGCCGATTGAGATATTGAAGTTACTGTGAATAAATGTGTGAGTGTGAGAGGCGGTGGGTAGGTTAATTGATGAGGTGTGGGGGTGATTGTGGGGGTATGTGGGGTGATCGTGGGGTGTGGGAGGATCGTGTGGGAGTGGTGGTGGAGGTGTGGGAGTGGTGGTGGAGGTGTGGGAGTGGTGGTGGAGGTATGGGTGTTAGTGGAGGTGTGGGGGTGATCGTGTGGGAGTGTGTGGGGGATGGGTGAGGTGTGGGGGTGGTTGGGGTGAGGTGTGGGGGTGTTAGTGGGGGTCGATTTACTGCCCTTGCATCATTTTCTCTCGTTACAATATTAATAAAGGTCTAATCTAACCTAACCTAGATATTGAGAAAATAGAAAGACGATTTGTCACGCAATCTTGTTCCTGGACTAACGTTTTTACTTGTGTGTGTGTGTGTGTCTCCACGCACTCTCCCTAGGAGTAATTTTTCTATTAAGCTTTGATAATATTGTAAGAATGTTTAGTAAGTTGTTGCTTGAGGAGGAGGAGGAGGGGGAGGGGGAGGGGATGGTGAAGAGGATGGAGGAAGAAAAAGAAGAATGCTAAGTCATATCTAAGAGGTGTAATATAACTCATTCTTCTCCGCCATCTTTCACCACTATCCTCTCCCTTACCACCCCCCTCTCTCTCTCTCCCTTCCTTCCCCACCTCCCTCTCTCCCTTCCTACCCCCTATCCCCACTAACTAAAGGTATATCAATAATTTAAGAATTGAATTGAATGTACACAACACACGTAAATAAGAAAGAATAACAGTACTAGTTTTGTGTCTAAGGTGACGTGATCTACAAGGGCCTGAGGCAATAGCGTTCTTGTAGCCATGACGAAAGGATTTGTCTAGTGGGTGATGCTTAGCTCTTGAATACGATGGCTTATAGGCAGTGTCATCGTACTCAAGGTAATAAGATATAGTACTCAAGGTTTTATTGTACTCAAGGTGTTAAAGGTTAGTTAGATTAGGTTAGGTTTTATTCGTGTTTTTTTCATAGAAATTGTGCTTATGTGCGTGTATAAGTGTACTCATACATAGTGTGTGTGTGTGTGTGTGTGTGTGTGTGTGTGTGTGTGTGTGTGTGTGTGTGTGACAGTGCCATCATCAAGGTCACATTACATGGACATTAACCCCAAAGAATAACCTCACTACTTAAGCATTTCCTCTGCATTTAAAAAAGAAAAGGAAGGAGAGTCGGCGCTTAATCCTAACCTAACCTAATCTAACCTAATCTAATCTAATCTAATCTAATCTAAACTAATCTAATTTAATCTAATCTAATCTACAGGTGATTGGCGCTTCCTTCTAATTTAGTTGCTTACGTAAACGATAACTTATCTTTCCTGAAATATGTCTATTTTCTCTACGTCACCGTGATTACGTTTAAGAGGTGCTGTGTTTAGAACGCTTACACCAAGGACAATCTGAAAAGGAAGGAACGGAG